TATTGTGTATGTTGAGACTGCAGAAGGTAAAATGTTCAACATGAAGAAAGATGTCATGTGCATAAACTCAGCTTCTATTTCTAATAAAGTATATTATTCATTATTCCCCACACGCCAGTGCTCTCTCATTGTATGCTGAAAACAAGATTACATTAAAGGATTCTGAAAATGCAACAACAAAAAAATTGAATTGTCTGACCCATGCTTTAGGTTGAGGAAACCAGAGAAAGCAGTCTGAAAAAAGTACCAAAAAAACCCCAAACCACTAAGCAAGTGATTTGAGAGAGAATAAGAGAATCTTGAGCATATCATCTGCATGAGATTACTTGGAACAACAGCACCATCCACTGCCCACATGGCAAATGGCACAGGCACCGCCTGGAGAAGACGACATTTGGGAAATGGCAAATGGCACAGGCACCGCCTGGAGAAGAAGACACTCGTGTCCCATTTGGGAAATGGGAATTGAACTCACTACATAGACACACGGAGGAACTTGCGCTTTAACTGCTAACACTAAAAGACTCGAAATAAGCCTTTCCAATTAGCTCTTTTTGCTCATTATAGCACGAAGTATTTCTTGAAGTCACAACTAGAAAAACCTTTTGTGGTTTATTTGCTTTTTGAAGGAGCTAAGTGCACTGCCAGGCAGGGAGGGAATTCTCATGACTGGAAGGCTCACAGCACCCCTAACAATGATGACATGACTAACTCAGAGACCTCTCCGTGAGGTTTCAACACTTCTGCAAATGCTTTGTTGAACAGGGACAAAAGTAACCATATGATTAAAAGCTTTACTGAGCCAAAGAGATGAAGCCTTTCATTTACAAGTCAGAAATGCAATGCCAGTAGAACTGAACTACAGATACTTGACAGGCAAGTTACCTACAAAGTGCTTTTTAGTCACATTACACAGACTTATTCCAGGCTCTGGATTCTTTTCAATAACAACATAATTTTTAACATACTTTTTCTGAAGACTGTTTTTTCATTTAAAACTTGCAAGACACAGAAAGGATTCATTTCAGAGGAAAAAGTTACTACTTCTGATGAAGGCAATGCAGAGCAGCTGCATGTTCTGCACCAGCCACTTCACCTCTCCTTGAATGCCAAATGGAGGAAGATAAGAGCCTGCCTGTTCTTCCTAGGCATTAGAGCAGAGATTTTACAGGAAGAATAATTCATTTCTTTAAAGAGTAGACAAACGTATACCTACAGTCACAGTGATGAAATGCAAAACAGAAGAAACAGATTGAGCTCTGAAAAGGTCCTATTTCTGAGGCACTTCATCATACTTCTGATAAGACAAAAATCATCCTCAAAGTCAGCATCTCTATTAACAGCTTCAGCAGAGAAACCAGCATCTGAAGTAGTCAAGGACTGGTCTAATCTCATTTCTCCATCTTCAGTCACCCTCCAACAAGCTTGAAATGAAGATGCAGTAAAAATGTTTGTACCCTGTCACCGGTCCAGCAGCCCCACCCATCCCCAGCCTGTTCCTCTTTGGAGGGTCAGGGGAGGGGAAGGAGCCATCAGCTTTGAATGCTGTCAAGTTGCATTTGTTGAAGGATGCCAAAAATACTTACACAGAACACAAAAGCTATCCATCCACGCTCTGCAGTGCAATGACTCACTCACCAATACACTGGACATCTTTGCTGATCTATGACTTTTAGATGTATTGTATGCTAAATCAAAAAGGAGAAAAGAAAAATTATTATTGCTTAAGCTTTTCACACATAGCATTGCCTTATTCATAAATTACTGCTTTCAAGACAGATTTGAGTAAATAGATGCCCGCAGCAATTCCAGCTGTCAAAGTAGCAATAGGATAAAGAAACAATATGAACAGCACCCCATCGGGTGATCAGTGATACACAGCCAGAAAACCCTGTTTAATTCTTAGAATTAACTCTATGCTTCAGCACAAGTCTTTTTTAATATTTTAGTTTTAGATTTAAAGGCCTCAACCAGAATATTCTATCTAAATGGCTGGATTATCTAACAAAAAAATAAGCAGCTCAGTTTAGTTCAGCAAGCTTTTATCATGAATCCTAATAAAACAAAAAAGTATTTTTATATGCAACAACAAAAAACTGAGAAAAAATATACTCAATTGCACAGCACACACTGAAGGGCACATTTCAAGTGTCAACAGAAAATATGCAACAAAATCTACAAAAGGACCAGTAACAAATCATGAAGATCAGATTTATTTTCCTAAGAATTCTAAAGAAACTGAAAGAAGCTAAAAAATTAAATATAGTGCCTAATCCCCAGAGCAGTAGAAAACAGTAACTGGCACCTTAGCAAAGACTGTAGAAAGATCTACTGGGCTGAATTTGCAAAGCAGTAGTTCCGACATCCACGCTGAACAACAGGATAAAAAACATAATAATGAATGCCGGGAGTGAGGATGATAAATGTGATACATTGCAGAGGAGCTGGCACAGCTTTCGGGGGAAGAAAGTCTTGCCTCCTACACCTGTTGAAATTTTCTGAGAGATCAATAAGCACGCAAACAAGAAAGACAACTATCTATAGGTAGGATCTGATCCCACGCAGCCATTTTCACAGCCATTTTCAGAGCTGCTCACCAGCAATTATGTTGTGCAGGATTTTACCTCGGAAAATACTCTCACTAAAAAACAAACCAATCAACCAACCACCAAAAAACGTTCTGTCATCACAAGATATTTCTAGGCAGTGGTCATGCTAAGCTTGTCATGTGTGCAGTTGGCCATGTTACTCAAGGATGACTAACTGCAGATTAACACTCCTCACTAACGCATTTTGTAAAGACTTGACAAAAAGCAAAACTGAACCAATGCTGAAAATTAATCCCAGGAAAGAGGAGAAGAAAGCAAAATTCAAACATAACAGTTTTTTCTTCTGCCAAACACCTAAAGATGTAAATAAAAATATTACTGCTTAAACATTATTACCATTATATCATATTATTCGGAAACATTTGATCATGTTGCAAAACACTACACTGTACCACTCTGACAAGCCAGTAACACAATATAGACAGACAAGGATTGCAACTGGTACAGTAGCAAACCATAGAAACAGCCGAGATATTTCTAGACTGACTGTATTTAAGCCTTTATGCATAAAGTCTCAAATATATTTTATGTACATCCGGTTTAATTTTTAAGTGGTTTCTCTACATCTGGATTCTGCCTCAGTCTCCCTCACGGACGGATAAAAGCAGAAGGGGTTTATGATTAAGGCAGTCCCAGATTCGCGCAACCTGATTTCAAGCACCACCTTTGACTTCACATTCAGCCTAAATTTCTTCACGGGGTCTGTACCTGCATAAAGCAATGTGAAGAATCCCTTTGCTAATGCCGTGAGGCTCTTGTAATCCCAGGTGCAGTTTGTGACAGTAGAGAACAACCCAGGGCAACCCAGCTTGGGTCCCCATCTCCCCTTCCACAAAATTTCTTCACGTCTTGCACACATTCCTAGCCCTTCCCTCTACCAGCAGTGGTCCTGACCAGATGCCTCAGTGAGTTATTGAGGGCATCAGGCTGTAGCTGTGTGGTTGGATTCTGCCAGCCCAGGGCCCTGGATCAGTTCACCCAAAGGGTCGAAAAAGCTTCAGTGCCAGCACGTAGGAGAGATGGGAACACGTAGCCTGAAGAAGAGGGCAGGGTGGGATTTACAGCAGCACCATTTAGATGGTGTAAACTGTGGTGGAGATGCAAACCACACCCCCACAGCCGTCCCCACATACAGCAATGACATAGTAAATTCAGTAAACTGTCCAGGGAGAGCAGAGAAAAGCATTTAACTGTATTACTGGAAAAAAATCTTAAAAAAATCAGTTGTGCTGGTTTTAAGTCTAAGTCTTAAATTTGGACAAAAAAAAAGCAGGTAAGAGAGTCAAAGAGTGCACGAGCAGGAAAGAGTGAGTGCAAGTGTGAAAGAATGGAAACAAAGTTTTAGAGCGGATTAGGCTTTAGTTAACATATTTACTTATAAAAAGAGTTTTCATTATTTTGCACTGGAAATCAAGTACTCATTAGCAAGAGATCATGACAGTAATAATTCAGAATTATAATATGAAAAATTTAAAATGTTACATTTATGCAGCACGAAAGCTTAAAAGCTCTTAATAATCTATGAAGAATCAATTTAAACAGGACCATTAAAATGTGCAGTTTCTACAGCTGATGTATGCGACTAACCAATAAGCTAAGTTTAGAACCATGGTGTTCAGACCTTATAAAGCATGAAACAGTCTCTTTATTCTCCTTCACACACGTCAATTTAATTTTCAGAGCCAGTCATAAATGATGACCTAAAGCAGTGAATTTAAGGCAGCCCATATAACAGACTGCTGCTGCTCTCGCACTGTGCTTTGCTCCCTGCTAACCTGATGAGAGTGGTGCTGCAACCGTCCTCTTTTCACCCAAGATCCCTGAAGCACTGATCACTTTCTTCACCTGCTTCCATCCCAGAAATCTTCAGTTGATCCTACAGGTGCAGCATATCCTCTCTACTTTGGCACTGTGCAAGCAGCTCTCCTTCCTTCCCCCAGCTTTGGAGGAGAAGAAAAAGACAACGCAGCACAAAATGAGAATGCAATGCCCAGCAAATACCAATAATCTGGTATTCCAGCTATTCCGAACAGCAGCATCACTACAGCACCCATATACTGGACATCATGATGTACAGCTGGAAAACATCATATGTACTTAGAAGCCTGCATAATAATAGTAGGAAAAATATACCAGCAGTTTGAAGTAGTGGAATCACATGAAAGGAAAAATAGATCTTTGCCCGTTAAAAACCACATAAAACTGTGCTGAGAGAGAAAAAATTTATTGGTCCTTTAGATTTCCAATGATTGCTTGTATTATATTCAGTCAATTCATTCCAGTATTACATACAAAGGCTATCTTCTCTTCACTTGCAATGTCAGAGCTAGCTTAACATTCAGTGGAAATGCAAGGAATAAAAGCAAAAAAAAAAATCTTTAAATTGTTAGTGAAATACATGTGGGTTTTTTTTTCCTATTTCAGCAAAACTCTTGCAAAGAACTGTGTTCTGTGCTCAGTACCCATCTTTCATGAAGATGACTCTCACATACTCACAGAAGGCACTTGAAATTCCTGGAAGCTGGGAAGTCAGGAAGAGTAGGGACAGGCTATCGCTCGGATAACAGTTTGCTCATTTTTAATAAGTGCAATACTAGTATAAATTCAAACAGCCACAAAGCATTAAGATACAAAAACTTAGCCAGACATGCTAACTAAAGGGCTGCAAAGCTGGAGTACAAATCCTTCATGTCGCTGTCACCATTACTCATCGTCTCCACCACAGAGGAGCAGAAGTGCTTTCCTGTAGTCCCCAGATGTGTCTTTCTGTTAATATAACAGATCAGTCACCATGAGTCACAACCACAGACATGTTAAGAAAAGCAGCAGCCGCCAAGGAAGACTCCAACAGATTATCATTTGTCCCACCCACAGGAAATCCACTTGCATGAGTCTACACTCAGGAATGACGCAAGGAAATTCTCTGTCTCTTATGTTAGAGCTATATTTACACAGACAGACTTTCAGAAACACAAAAAGCCTCCGAAAGCTTTAACAGAACTGAGCTAGCCATTGCATATTAGATCGCATGGTCTGCAAGGGAGCAGCCCAAAGCAGCACCAAAAGCAACCATCTTTCAGTGTGCAAACCACACTTGCCAGCTCTTGGAATGGCCCCAGCCCTGCTCCCTGTAATTAATGGGAAGCTCTGCTACTAATTCTGCAAGGCAGCTGTATGGGCCCGACTGACAGCGTCAAAAACAGCTCCACTCAGCCTAACAGCACGTAATGTTAGGAATGATAACAGGAAATCATACAAAGCAGCATTAAAATATTAAAAATAAAACAAAATACCCAAAAAAATTCCTAGGAAAAAACCCAAACATTTTGGCTTCAACTTCGCAGC